TTTCTTAATTTTATTAGAGAGCCACAAGGTTTCATATAGTATCCATATTTTTATGACTACTTCTAAATAGATACTTTTATTAACTTCTTTGGGAAACTTTTTTCAAGGAAATCCTATACTCTAATACGAGCAATGTTTGCTTGTATGTATGCTTGCTTGCTTGCTTGCAGAAAGATCTCGAAAACGGCTCCGACGATTTTCTTCAAATCTTGTAAATAGTTTATTTTTGGCCTAAAAACGAGTTTCATGCAGTTAGAACTGCCAACAAAAATCTAATTACGTATAAAAACGAAACTGAAAGTCACATTTTTTTAACATTAGTCTTATGGGTTGCTAAGTAACCATGTTGGTTGAATTAAATAACAAGGAAAAAGTAAACAAAAGAGTTGAAGTTGTAGCATGTGTTCATAATAAGCCAACTACCCACAGTATACTAGCAAATTACAAATACAGTACAAAAGGGAAAGCATCACTTGTTAATATTGAGCATAGATTTTACTGAAGATTGCTCGATACATTGTAGGCCTAGTAAAGGCAAGCAGTACCATAGACTAGCCAATACAAGTAGACTTCTCATCCCATTGTAAATTTTGAAGCACGTTTTTCGTGTCTAGTTCATGTACGCCACACTGGGCGCTAGTGTCGACGAAACTTTGTTTCTATTATTTTAGGGTTAATTTCTTGATTTGTGCTTTACTGTTTGGTTATATAACTAGGGGACAAGTTATTGTTTATGATTAGATCGTATTATTTGGTTAAACGAGGTTTTAAATGGCTGTAATAACGGGAAACAAATTGTAAACAAAACACGACCTCTACAGAAAACCGTACAGAATTAACAATAAAATTGTCTTCAGCTGTTCCATAAGGATGAGAAATCTACTAAGGGAGTATGTTTTATCTATGGCAGTACGAAGTGTGGGATCTGTTTATGACGATTAGATTAAGGTTATTTGCAATCCTAAAATGCTATAGGAAGGGAAGGAAACAGGTCTGCAACGTAGGAAGTGGTGAAGGAAGTAGTAAAGGAAAGTTGTCCTGAGTGTAGGAACTGTTTTTTAACAATTAGATTAAGGTATTTGCAATCATAAAATGCTATGGGAAGGGAGGGAAACATGTCCGTAAGAAGGAAGTAGTAAAGGCGAGCAGTCCGGAGTGTAGGAACTGTTTATGACGATAAGATTAGGGTATTTGCAATCCTAAAATGCTATGGGAAGGGAGAGAAACAGGTCCGCGACGTAGGAAGTGATGAAGAAAGTAGTCAAGGCGAGCTGTCTAGAGTGTGGGAACTGTTTATGGCGATAAGATTATGGTATTTGCAATCCTAAAATGCTATAGGAAGGAAGGAAAACAGGTACGCGACGTGGGAAGGGGTGAAGGAAGTAGTCAAGGCGAGTAGTCCGGAGTGTGGGAACTGTTTATAACGATTAGATTAAGGTATCTGTAATCCTAAAATGGTATGGGAAGGGCGGGAAACAGGTCCGTGACGTAGGAAGTGGTGAAGGAAGTAGTCAAGGCGAGTAGTCTGGAGTGTGGGAACTGTTTATAACGATTAGATTAAGGTATCTGTAATCCTAAAATGGTATGGGAAGGGAGGAAAACAGGTCTGCGACGTAGGAAGTGGTGAAGGAAGTATTGAAGGCGAGCTGTTCGGAATGTGGGTACAGTTTATGACGATTAGATTAAGGTATCTGGAATCCTAAAATGGTATAGGAAGGGAGGAAAACAGGTTTGCGTCGTAGGAAGTGGTGAGGGAAGTAGTAAAGGCGAGTAGTCTGGAGTGTGGGAACGGTTTATGATGATTAGATTAAGGTATTAGCAATCATAAAATGCTATGGGAAGGGAGGGAAGCAGGTCCGTGACGTAGGAAGTGGTGAAGGAAGTAGTCAAGGCGAGTAGTCTGGAGTGTGGGAACTGTTTATAGCGATTAGATTAAGGTATCTGTAATCCTAAAATGGTATGGGAAAGGAGGAAAACAGGTCTGCGACGTAGGAAGTGGCGAAGGAAGTATTGAAGGCGAGCTGTTCGGAGTGTGGGTACAGTTTATGACGATTAGATTAAGGTATCTGGAATCCTAAAATGGTATAGGAAGGGAGGAAAACAGGTTTGCGTCATAGGAAGTGGTGAGGGAAGTAGTAAAGGCGAGTAGTCTGGATTGTGGGAACGGTTTATGATGATTAGATTAAGGTATTTGCAATCATAAAATGCTATGGGAAAGGAGGGAAACAGGTCCGTGACGTAGGAAGTGGCGAAGGAAGTAGTCAAGGCGAGATGTCTGGAATGTGGGAACTGTTTATGACGATTAGATTAAGGTATTTGCAATCCTAAAATGCTATGGAAAGGGAGGAAAACAGGTCCGCGAAGTAGGATGTGGTGAAGGAAGTAGTCAAGGCGAGTAGTCCGGAGTGTAGGAACTGTTTGTGACGATTTAATTTTTAATCCTAACATGCAATGGGAAGGGAGAGAAACAGGTCCACGACGTAGGGAGTGCTGAAGGAATAAGTAAAGGCGAGCAGTGTGGAGTTTGGGAATGGATTTATGTATCTGCAATAATGCAGACTGCTTTCAGAGTAAACTAATGATTTTCCCCGAGCAAAGCTCGGTCCCCAGGTACGGTATTGGTTAATATGCCAAAGTGCTCATTAATACTAACGGTCGGTTAGAAGAATATTATAGTTAAATTAAAACAAAGGAGGAAAACATTTATTTTCCCATTAAACTACCAAATGTATTTCAGATTTTAAATGACATACCAGTTTTTACATTACATGTGAACTAAATATTTAATTCTATCATAGATAAAAGGAGTATAGACACTACTCTAAACCCCCCATAAACCCCCGTTCCCAAGGTCCGATTATGCTGGATCGCGATCTCGTTTGAATAAACGTAGGTTTACACGTTTGTACCAAATTTCATCAAAATCGGATCATTTTTGCTCGAGTTATCGCGCTAACGGACACATATATATATAAATATATATATATATATACATATATATATATATATGAATTTGAACGGATGGTGTTTTTGGCCTCTAGGGACCTCAAAATGAAAAATTAAATCGGTCTCGGGTCCAGGTCTTACCATGAGTACTACGGTAATAGCTTATTCCCTATATGGGAAATTCGCTAAAAAGTAGTCCACAGAACTTAGTTTGTACCATTGTACAAAACCTCATGACCAACTCAAGGTCATACAAGATCCCATTTGGTCTTGGCCCTCAAGGAGACAATCAAGCAAAAGTCAGCCTGAATAAAGAATAAAGGTCACATCAAGTTGCCCCCTTGACAGTCAGGGAAAACTATTGGAAACAAAATTACCTAAATATCTCATAACTGATTTGGAACAGGGGAAAAATAAAATCACCTGTTTATTTGCTCATGAATTTACAATCATAAAATAATAAGGTATCCAAACAATATGCAATATGTCGTATAAAAAAGTCACTTTATGTGTTTATTTTAGGACCCCAAAAGATGTTTGCATATCTAAACCAAATATGAATCTCAATATCTTTATATAACATCTCAGAGTCATAATCTGTGTGCAATTATTTTTAATTTTTTTTGCAAATTAGTAAATTAGATCAGCGCAATCTGTCAGTGGCTCACATCAACTAAGACAATTTTATTAAAATTATGGCAAACTCGTCGAATTGTGGAATAGTCAAAGGTAGAATGAAGTGAGATGCCTTGTAGCTTTGTTACTTAGACCAGCTGTTTCAATAGTCAGGACTATTTAAAGCCCAATGATGAAGAACAGCTGGGTCGCCAGTTCCAAACCATCAAAAGCTACTAACCTTTCTCAGGATCGAACTGGCGACCTTTCGATTACCAGGCGAGCTCTATAACGATTCATGCTATGCTAGGCACAAACTTCTATGTGGAGAGAGGAATCAGAGGAATGACGGAGATTATAATAGAGGGGTAGTTGTTTAAACATTAAAATTAATAACTCAAGCCCTGTATTTATATACAGGGTGTCCCGGAATTCTCTACCAATATTTTAGGGCATTGCTCCTGGGTAAGAAACATACCTAAATATCATATTTAAATTGTCCGGAAGTCCTTAGTTACTCACACAGCCGCCATTTTGTTTTTTCAGTTATTAGTTTTTTTTCTAAAGAATGGTTAAACATACAAAATGGATTCTTTGCACAAACATTTATGACAACTAGACAAAGCTACAAAAAAATTATGACGATTTTTCAAATTCATAAAACAAGATGGCGGCCATTTAAAATTTTTGTTTCTCAAATAACTCAAAAACCGTTCATTTTACAAAAATTTTAAATGGCCGCCATCTTGTTTTATGAATTTAAAAAATCGTATGTTTAACTATTCATTAGAAAACAATTAATAACTGAAAAAAACAAAATGGCGGCTGTGTGAGTAACTAAGGACTTCCGGACAATTTAAATATGATATTTAGGTATGTTTCTTACCCAGGAGCAATGCCCTAAAATATTGGTAGTGAGTTCCGGGACACCCTGTATATCAATGGTGTTTAATAAAATAATGAGCAATAAAAGGTATCAATTCGTTTCAGCTGTCTGATTATACAATAACATCCGATGACTGTTCTAGCCATTCCCAGGTTCATCAGACAGAGGAGAGTTTGGCCATAGACAATAAGAATTAAATAAAGACTGTCAGCCGGGTGCTGCGGTTACCAAGTTCTGGGGCACACCGCTGGGAGCGCCGTGTAGTTACGTAGAGCGTATGCCATAACAACATGGTGCTCCCAGCGGTGTGCGCCAGAACCTGGTAACCGCAGCACAGCTGACAGTCTGTATTTAATTCTCTTTGTCTATGGTTTGGCATAGTGAAGAATCAAAAAGATGAACTTACTTTAGGTAAAAAACTAAATTAATAATTATTTGAATTTATTTTTTATTTTTTTAGGATCTCTTGAATCTCATATGACCAGCTGTCCTGGCAGTATTTTACTCAGTAGCTGGTATATACTGTTCAAGATAAAAACACATGATTACTGGAAAGAATTCCATCAAAAGCACAAGGTTTAATGCAAAATTTATTTATTTTACGTCTCCTATTGTACAAATTTTGAACAGCTGTGAAACTAACATAATTCTCAGCAGCTGGAAAGAAGCTTACAATATATGATACACAAAGAAAGACAGGAAGTGTGAGCGGTTGTAAGAGTGAGCTGTAGTTAAAAAAAACACTCCTTACGCCTTTGGTCCATTTGACTGGCCAAGCGTTAATTTAAACTATACTACCTATATATACAATAAAAATTGTTCAAATGCTATCCTTTAGCTTGTCTTTGCATTGTCATGGTCCTTCAAGTTTGAATAAGAGTATTTATTTTTCTAGAGTTCATGTGTAGCATTATAGTCCTGGACAGAAAGATGATGAAATTGCACAGTTAAGCCATGCACACGTGTATCAATAGTGGTAGCAGAAGTAAAAATAAAGAGCCATGAAGTGCTGTGCCGAAGTTGCAACCGTCCGTGAAGCACTGACACACAGTCTCGGAATGATCCCAGTTACGCACTCGGTAACATTCCTCGTTGTGTTTCACCCAACCACACTTGCGCACCATCACTTCCTTGCTTTCCCATCCGTGGACTGTGGAACAGAAAAGCGTGAAGGAGGCAAATCAACAACAATATATTGCTAGTATTAACAGTCAAGGGGAGCGAGCTGGTCTAGTGGCAGAGCTCGGGGCTTCGGTCTAGAGGTGTCGGGTTCAAATCCCACCAAATCACCAATGGATAATTCTAAGTGATAATACCGCAACCCCTAGGTCTAGGCTGAAACAATGTGAAAAGGAATCCAGGGTTCGTGCCTAGCGTGGCCAAGGAAAAAAGTATTAACAATAAAAAAACTTCTGAAAAGAAGAAATCTCATCTCTGTGAAAGAAAAGTAAGTGCTAAGTCTGACAGCATTTGAAAAAATGTCCAAGATTGATCAGACCTCATATTATTCCCATAAGAAAAGGCGTAAAAAACAACATTCACGCATGCACATGATTTGCAATTATAAATGTTTTTGTTGTGTTTATGTATATGCTTGAAATAACGGCTTGTGCAAGAGAATATGTTTGACATGACAACTGAAGAGAAGATTTGAAAATGGGGGTTTAACCCCGAAACTATAGTCATCCACGACAATATAGGACTGATTGACGCCAGGTTAAAAAAACAATTTTATCAGTACAGTAGAGTTTTTTTTATGAAAGATTATACAAATGTATATGGAACGTTTTGGAATTCCTCATTTAAATTCTATCAGGTCCAGTTTCACCTTTTTTATTGTTATTGACAAAGACAGTAAAGGAATTGAACCAGTCACAGTGTGTGATCAAACCTGGGCACCAACAACTAAATTTTCTCAACTTTGAATATTTTATATTTACCGGACTAAAATATGATGGTACTGTATCTAAATATTTCAAAACTAATAAATTTTTAACATCGAAATTGGATAGTGCTCAACAGGGTGGTTTTCCCACTGAAATTTACTGGTTGGAAATAAGATTAAAATTCATAATCTTTATTTGAGTTTGTCAAACAAATTTTGTTTGCTAATAGAAATAGTAGGATAGTGTCTATAATTACGACTATGGTTACAGCTTGAAGTAGATACCCCATTTTAGCTTTACCATGTTTTGTATTCATAGATGGTACTTGAAATCGCCAAATCCTTTCAACTGAACTTACAAGCTGGTGTTAAGAAAGAAAACATTATTTGACACAGATCTAACAGCAAATAGGTTTTATTTTTAAAATGTTAGTTGTATTGAGCCATTGATAAAGTGAGCTGTGGTAAAATATGTCATTTCCTGGTCCATACAAACTTGTCAATCACATCCAATTAAAGGGGCAATCAATTGGAAACAATATTGTCTTCCTTCAATGTCACATCAACCACCATAGTTTCAAATAAAAAGAGAGAACATTGATAAAGGTAGCAAGGACGGATGGCAGTTAAATGGTAAGCTTAGTTTTTATTTTACAAAAAAATTGTTATAGAGGATCATATAGATGGTCTAACTCTGGTGGTCATATATCCAGTTCAAGTCTAAGCCAGTATACATTTTTTTTACTCCTGTTAATTCATTAAACTATTTTCAGAAGTGCTGTCAAATGCTGTTTGTTTTCTGTTTCATACAAACGTTAAAATTACTTTTTTTTTACTTAGTGGAATTTAAAATGAGCATAGCGTTTGCTTTGTTAGAAGAGCAACCAACAATATATCCATTATCGTTGCCTTCATGGGTTGAAAGGGTTAAAATAAAACCTAAAGTGAGTACGCTATCTTCATCTAGAGCCAAAGAAGAAAAAAGTATGGGGTCTCCATAAGACAGCTCATTGAATTATTGGACTTTAGGATTGGAAAAATATAACATTTTACAATGGTTTGTGTTTAGAAACTGAAACTATACAAAACAAAAGTTGATAATTTAGATTTACATCCCTGGACGGAGGTTGATAACTTCATCTATAGCAACATAAAACCTGAGAGTAAAATAACAGTCTGTTATTTTCCAAAAATCATTTAAATTTAAACTATGCTATAAAAATCATTTAGTACTTCTAGGTGCTTCTATCTATACTTACTTTTTTGAGCAATCTTCCTGCAGAATGGTTTTTGCCCAGCATACTTCCCTATGTCCTCACAGGGCTTGAAATAAACACTGCTATTTACTGAGATATGTTTACAATGGTCATCGTACTTGGAATGGCATTGGTAACATTTTATCACAGGCGTGTCAGAATCTGCATCTGAAAACAAAAATCGGTGGACTAATTATGCTTACATATTAGCATGCATGCTTAGCAATTGAGCATAAGAAGCTGAAAGTATAATGGCCAACATACACCACACGCGCAGAAGTCTTTGCCCAGACGTCCCCCCTCTCTGATAGTTGAAAAGTTGGATGAAGGCTAATTGGATTATTAAAAAAAGTACTGTAATTTAATAACAACTAAATGTTAATATTTACACCATTTTCACGCAGTATGTATTATTTAGTTCCTGAATCTGCACAAGGGCTGAGTTTATAGCAGTCAAGTAATAAAAATTTGTGATGTATTTAAAAATAGAATGAGAAATAAAGTACACAATTTGACTAAGATTCCAATAGAAATTGATTATGTGAAGATAGCTACCCTGCAATACATAACCAATGCTACACATAACCAATTTCAATTTAAAACATTTTAATTTAAAACAGTGCAAATGTATAATCATAGACAAAAAGAATTAAATATAGACTGACAGCTTTGCTGCGGTTAGCATAGGTTCTGGCTTTCACCGCTGGGAGTGCTGTGTAGTTACGTTGCTACGTAACTACACGGCGCTCCCAGCGATGAATGCCAGAACCTATGCTAACCGCAGCAAAGCTGTTGATGATAAATAAAAATGCCTTTATTTATCAAGCGTTTCTTAGTACAAATACTGCTTCTCAGAACATCTTTCGTCAATAACAATATTTAACTAACAACAAATAAATAGACCAATAACAAAATAGAAACAAGACAATATGAATAACAATAATTATAACCATCAGTGCACAATTCTTTAATCTTAATTCTAAATGATGACAAAGAATATGTTTTTATTCTATATATATATTTTATTCTTTTGTCTATGGTAAAATATAACTTAAGGAAGCTTAAGGAAGTCATGCATCAATAAGCTTGAGGCCATTGACTTTGGCAAGTCAAACAATGTGTACACAACTATAAATACATGTATATAAGTTGTATAGCTATAGCGTTAAGCTACAAATTAGCAAAAAGAGGCTTTGAATAACTGTACTTACTTGAACATATTGGTGCCAAACACACAAGAAGAGATGCACCAATGAGATGGGCCACAATCCCAGGCATAATATCTGCAATATATATATCAGTTTTGAATCAAAGACACTAGGAAAATTTTTAAATCAAAACAGTAAAAAATTCTGAACAAAATTTAATCATTAGGAGTAAATAAATATATATTCACTTCTATCACTCCAGAACTGGTGGTCATGGCCATTGACTGATCTTGACCAGAAATATCGGTGACGGAAACAGTTATTTTTAGTGAGAAACTAAACGCTTGGTTTGGTTCCTCCAGTAGATTTCAATTTTTTTATGGATCGATGATGTTTGTTTTATCCCTTCTATTGAGTCATCATCCCATAATGATAATGATAAATAATAATAATAATGGTGATAATGTGTATATCGTGTAGCAATTCTTTGTTTATAAATCATTAGCGTCTTGGGTGTCGGTTAAAAAAATAAAAAAATATTAAAATACCAGTAATACTGTTAAGTTAACTTTTTTCATCCATGTAATGTACTGGTTTTGCAACCTCAATAAGCTCCATTTTGAAGAACACAAAATTATTACAAAATCCTCTTTTTCAGTTTCCAAAAACCTTCAATTCAACCGACAGAAAAAGAGCAGAATATGTTGACAGTAGTACAGGTATTTAAGCCTTTCATGGAGTTATTAAGCATGAAATATGCTCATATTATTATGTAATAAAATTAACTCCTTATCTTATCATCTGAGAAGTTAGAACATAAAAATTTGAAAACCCACCTACACTGTTTATAAAGTATTTTTTGTAATAAAACCTGAACAAAACCAAATATCCTGATTACATTTATTTAATTCATGGTGTGACGGCATTTCAAATTAATTTAACACTCAGTGAAAACTGAACAATAATTGATTGAATTGGTATCATAAAGTTAATCTTAAAGTTACAAGTAAATTGTATTGCATTAAGTATTTTAAGCTTGTCATAAATAACAGGCTGGTACAGTGTGCACGACTGGTTGCACGTTTAAACAAAAGTTCATGATAAATATTTGGTGGTTGAATTCTCCAATGGATCCAAAGTTTTATAACTTATCCAGAAAAGTAAGTCAATTAAGTTATCAAGCAAATCTTTTGTTGTTGTTACTATTCAAACAAAATAAACAAACTGTGAACTAATAAATACAACACAAAGTACTAGTAAATGTTTCAGATTAAAATATTTACATTAAAATCATGCAACACTGAATAATTTCTTTTATATGAATGATATTGGAAAAAAACTTACATTAACTGTAAACTTGCGATGGTTGGTCTGCAACCCATCCACTTCTGCCAATTAAGAAGTCAACTGGTGAACTGATGAAGACAGCAGCAACATTGCTGTGTTAATGACTTGTATTGACAAGCCTACCACACTCACAAACAAAATGTGGATCAGGGAGAGCTGCAAATAATGGGGAATCGGACATCACTGATATTTTGGACACAATTCATAGGACATGCAAGGCTTACTTTCTCCCTTTGTATATGGAGAATATTTTGAGTTTCGGGTTAAAATAACGGTTTTAGGTCACCTGAATACAATTTTTTGTTTGTTTTCAAAGTGATGACTGTGAGTGTTTTTGTATGTTTGTGTAGATGTGTGCAGAGCTATACAACCTCGATAACAAGTCACCCTTGATAATAAGTGTAATTTTTAAATCCCTTGAACTCACAATAAGGGGTCTGGTACCTTGAATTTTAACCCCTAATCACATGTCATTGTAAACCTCCATAAGCAGCTAATCTTGATATGAGAGTCTTGTCATCAAAGTTATACTGTACTGATATATGCTATCTACACATTCTACAGACAGGGGTATTTTAAATTTTGCTTTTTAATGGCGAATTTTCCATCATAATCTTTAAAATAGCAGAGGCAAAAACGGCTCGAACAATTATTATAAAAAAATTATTTTTTCCTCATACCGGTAGGTACTTTTTTTGCTGTGCTACCAGTAGAGAGGCAAGTATTAGGGAGTGATTTGCTGATTACCATAGAAAAGAAACAAAGAAATTTCAAATTACCGTAGTAAACTTGCATGATAAATTGTTGTAATGTAAAACTTATTGTAGTTTAAATTTAGGAACTTTTTAAAACTATTAGTCATTATTACTTACCCTTTTGAAAACAAACAAAACAAAAGTGAATTATGTTCCAAAATGTAACTTTTGCTACTAATTACACCAAAATCACTTGGGGAGCTTTCGAACAGAAAATATAATGCAATAACAGATATGCAATTTAACTATAGTCTCATAGATATATCTGTATAGATACATTATTCATAGTGAGATGGTTAAAACCAATAATCTATACTTGGATGCACACACCTAACTCACATGTGAATAGTAGTTATGCTCAAACTGAACAACTGATATCTTAAGATAATATTTACAGATAACCAGAGCCAGTTCCAGCATGAATAGGTTATCCACAGCCAGTTTGATTATTTATGAAAATTGGGCTCTGATTGTTAATAATACAATGTGTATGAACATGTAATAACACTCTTTATTTTATAAATGGTTGGTAAAGGTATATTTTGGTTACAGAGCATTTTCATGTAAAATCTACCAATAACATCCCAAAAACGTGTTAACTTTAATTTTGGTTCCTGTATCAGTTTTTTTAGATAGGAGACCTGATAACACTTCAACAATAGAAAGAAACCCCTACAAGTATTAGGATTAGTCTTTTTAGTTGTGAATTAGAAAAAAATTCTGTATTTCTAATCACCCTCTAATACCTAATTAATAAAGGCCGGGGCCACACTCATCTTACCTCGCTGAATTTTTCCCATGGGCGTTACACGTGGGCTTGAGCGAAACATTACGGCATGGGGCAGGCCGCACTAGAGTAAAGTTTAATTGTCTCGGTTTTACCAGAGAGACTGACAAACGGAATTGCACGTGTATTCTCTACTAAAATTTCACGGGCGTTGCACGTTAAGCTAGTCGGGGGCATTGCGGCTTATTGGAGTGAACACACTCATTTTATCTAATTTTTTTCCACGGTCATTCTGGTTTTAACCTGACTGATTTACTGTGTAGTGAGCGTGGAGGGGGGGAGTGCGAATCACAGACACGGACGATTTTTATTGCTAGTGTAGCATGCTCCATTAGTGACGCTGGTTAGCCCCAAAAACCTATTTCGTAAGACGAGTGTGGCCACGGTTAAATTGTTCTACGTCGCACATAAAATCGGAAAAACCAATCTGGCTGGTTAAAAATTACAAGTGCGACGGCCTTAGCCTGTGTATTTTCTCAGAATACAGGAGAAAATGATGATTCTAATAATCATATAATTTCATATTTATTTGCAAACATATACACATAAAACATTACAAACTAGCTTAGATAGTATCATTAAAAAGGTCTAGCATAAAAAAAGCACATCAATAAGCATTTAAACATGCAATTACACATTCAGAACTTGTAAAAACGCAAGTGTTCAATAACATTTCAATATGTTTTTTTCAGTATAGTAAGGCTATATCTATACATTTTAAAATTATTTGTAAATTTCTTTGTTCATTTTGTTATGTTTTTCACTAATTTGTACAACTTTAAGATATCCCTCATTTTTGACCAAGAATGGCCATTGAAACAATCTTCACGGTGGTAAAGTTTTTCCTGAAACAATTAATAATAATACAGTGTAAATGTATGAAATAATTGAATTAAACCAAAATAGAGCTTAAATTTAGAGGTATTTGATACAAAGTAGTGTGGATCAAGCTGGTCTAGTGGTAGATTTTGGACCTTAAGGTCCAGGGTTTGAATCCCGCCAATCACTAATGGATTTGATCTAAATTAATTCCGCAACGCCCTCGAATACCTAAAGTATTGTGTGAAACAACTCCAGGCTAGATTTAGAATTTTTTTTTTAATACGTCACTTCACCTTTCTTGTCGCAGGTGACCTAGATACCTGTGATATAAACCTATAATGTTTTTATTTTGTTTTCTCACAGCTCAAGGTTATCTTCAGTCCATTGTGCCACAGAATTACCCTAAAGCTATTTGCCATTGATGATAGGAGGAATTTTAACAATCACACACACAAAATGTCCACTATATCAGACACATCCCCTTTGCCAACAACATATTTCCAAACAACAAGTTGTGAAATTTGGACATTATGAACCTCACCCAAGTATCATAAGTAGCATGGATTGTCCATAGTTAGTTTTTACGCTCTTAAAAAATATTTATTGCTTGTTTTAGTGTTATTTTCAAAAATATGTAAAACTTGTTGATGTAACACAAGAAAGATCACACAAAAATAGATGCAAATACGACAACAGAATCTTAAAAGAAAGAATCAATTCTGGTTTTGTCACCTTCTCAAAGCCACAAGATGTTTTTCATGTCTCTCTATCTTTCTCTCTCTCACTCTCTTGGTTATAATATTGTCTTGTGAATGAAATATACATCCCACCTATATAATCGTAGCCAATTTTTCTATTGATATAGGACATAGTAAAATGAGCCATTCACACAGTTTTTTTTTCTCTCCTAGAGTTTTTGTTACTATACTGTGATAGTTGATGTGACATAAACTGCTGTAATTGTCCTTTCAAATTTGCTTGGTTAAACAGTTGGTGTATTCAACATAAATCATTATCATTATCAATTGAGGGGGACTCCATCATATTTTAACCCAAATATGAGCAAAGTAGTGTAGAGTGGAGTGATATGATCTGTGTAGCTTTGTTACTGACAAGAACCAGCTGTTTCATTAGACCGGACCATTTTATTAAATCAAGGACAGATGGGTTTAGTTTTAAACCATCAAAAACTACACACTTTTCTCATGATTGAACCGGCGACCTTTTTATTGCTAGGTTAGCACTATAATAACCACTCAGCTAGGAATCAGTGCACTCTGTGGTTGGCTCAATTTAACATAATTTCAATTCCTAAACAGATTATAACTTTACTAAAGAAATGAATATAACTAGCTATATCCAAGGTCAAAGATAATGCACATTGATTCTTTTAGAGACCACAAAACAATGAACACATATTCACGGATACTTACAGTTCACCATCCCACAACGCCGAGACACAGTGCGCCAGTGAGTGTGAGCACCAGAGACGTAGACGCCAGCTGCAGAGAGGGTGCGCCATTGCAGCCCATCTCAAAACACTGACAGCTGATCTCATCATGGTCCTCGTTCCTCATCTGGTAACAGTCCAGCCGCGGGTGTCTGACCCAGCCACACCTGCGGATCACCACCTCCATGTTGTCTCGCACCTTGACTGCAGAAATCAACAAAAACAGTAAATAATTTGTTTATGCAACTCTTTGAGCCCCAAGGTCCAATAGTAGCTACCAAGACTAACATCGCTAAACTTCTACAAGCAAATACTTATGCATACAAAACCAAAACAGCTGAAACTGAAACCTGCACCTGATGTAATTTAACAACTTTCCATTAACTATTTTTAAAATATATAATTTATTTTTGTAAAAAAATACAACCGACTTCAAACGCTCTAAAAAGAATGAAATTATTTCAATAAAGTAAACTTTTGTATTAGGCAAGCTCACGTATTTTAAGTCGACGCGGCTCTATGATGATTTTTGATACAAAATTGAAAGAGGGTGTCCATATTGCAGGTGACTATCTATAACTAAAGGTGTTAATCTGCATGTCTTTTTCATAGTTATGCGTTAAGTGTTATTTAATTACCGTAATCAGAGATCGGCATTATAGTGGTATTAACGAGTATCTTTAAAAAGATTATAACGCATTTAAATGTTTCTAACTTGGAAAAGTAGCGTTTTAATACTAAACTAGCTTCTTTTCCCTATCATAATATCAAACTAGTTTTACTGTAGAGTGCTCTATTTGCTTCAAATGAATGAATACAATGACCAAAGAACACTATTATTATAATTATTGATTGAGATGGAGACATTACCTATGTATTTTAACTCAAATGCAGTGCCCTGATAATCTTTAAAGTTAAGGATGAGAGTATAATGGAGTGTGAAGCTTGGTTACTGACAGAGATCAGCTGTTTCATTAGCCAGGACCATTTATTAAAAGCCCATGATCAAGGACAGCTGGGTCCAGTTTCAAACCATCAAAAAGCTACACACCTTTTTCAAGATTTGGTGACCATTTGATTGCCAGGTGAACACTAACCACTGAACTACCCAGCTATCACTCACTTCTCTGTACTAATTTCCTACAGAACGGCTCTTCTCCCTGGTACTTCTCAGTGTCTAGACAAGGCTTGTAGTGGTAGCTGCTAGTGTCGTTGGGTTTGATGTAAGCGCAGTCTTTGTCCAATAGGGAGTTGCACTGGAAACACCACAGGGATGATACCCCAGGGAGGAATGGGTTGAGGTCGTTGCGATCACGTTCTCGCCCGTACTGGCCTGAAACGCCTGGAAACAATCTTGGTATCAGAAGCAGGCAAGAGTATGACTATTGGCAACATGTGATATTGAATTTGCAATATACAGTAGTAAAACCCCTGTTACTGGGCTGGTTCCCTGTTGCTATGTTGGATAAATTCCACCACCCTTGGCTAATGTACCTTTCCTGATGCCTGACTCACTTCACATTCTTGCTGTACCGGTATACTAAAAATATTGATTATTTGCCATTTTAAAAGACTACGAGATTCACTGATCCATCATAATAAACGAGATTGCGCCACTCTTCCTACACTCATCTCCATTCATACTTGGCTTGAAATACCTACTTTGTATGGTCGCCATTTCATTGAAAGATATTAAAGTATCTCTAATTTTTTGTTTAAGCTGTCTTTGGAAGTGAGCTTTTAACCTTGCATTTGCCCGTCCACATAGACTACAGATCTGTGTAGTCTATAGTGTATAACGTATCCAGCAAAGCAAGGGGTGAGCAGGTACAGTACAAAGGTAAACTGTACTGATAAAATGTTTGCGGCAGTGACCAGGATCCAAACCCACTACATCGCACCTTTGGGCCCTAAGTCTGTGACGCTAACAACTGAGCCACCGACTCACCTTTGTGTCATATTGTTTCTACTACCTATTCAGGTTTTTTGTATCATCCTCGATGTGCTATGTAATTAGTGTATCAGGTCAAAGTCAGTACATAATTCAATTATGTACTGAACACACACTAAAAGATACACTAAAAGATACATTTATATATTTTTAAAGATATACATATATATATATATATATATATATTTTATACACTAAAAGATATTAGGTTACAGTAACGTGTTCCCTACCAACCATCACACTCCTCTGTATCTGAGGACTGTGTATACAGTAGTTGGTAGCTAATGTGTTTAGGGATTGTAAATGTACAGTAGTAACTCACATTTTTTATGTTCTAAAAAACTAAAAATGTGTAGGGAAACCCTTTTGTTTTCACCTGAAAACAACAGTGATGTATGTCTCTTAACCAGTACCTTTAGTCAATGTCAGTACCTAAATAGAAGACTGAAGAGAGATTAGTTTTTAAAAATTATTAATAACAGATAAAGACTTTGACATTTTGAAATGCCCCTTGTATTAAAAACACCTGAACACTTAAATCAGATATAGTAATCTTCCTAAAGAAATTAAAACATTGAATGTACGTCCTTAAAATTAGAATTACTAAAAACATCATAAAGAGACTGTTTTTAAGTAAGATTAGTGTTACCAATTATTAAGGTTAGAGTTACCAATTAAGGTTAGAGTTACCAAGTAAGGTTAGAGTTACCGATACTTATCCATGACAATACCTTGAGTTATTGCTGCAAGAAGAAAAGAGGTGAAGATGATCAAGATACCTCTCCTTTGAGAAGCCATGTCTTCTGAAAATTAATATTTTAAATAAGGATAGTTTTTGTAAATTATTACCTGCTAGAATTAAAACACAGAGCTTATTATTGTTCTTTACAAAAAAATAGTCTGTGAGACTAACTAAGCATTCTGTTTTATACTTAACGCTGCTGTATATTTTGTGTGAAATAAGCTTGACAATTGGTAAAATATATAAACATGCACATTTTAAAATCATCGACTTAAAAGAATTAAAAAGACAAACATTGGTGCTATGGTTTAGCTGGTGTACTGACATAAAAAAAAAAAAAACACACACATTGAAATGCTATTATAGATAATAATCTACTTACGTATCACGTATGCCAGTAGGTGTCAATTATTGTAGTTGATTATGCTGTACATGTTTCAAGCCTAATAATACGGCTCATCTTCAGCAGCATTTTTCTATGTACAATTTTCACATCGAGAGATGATTGTCGACTATATACAGACCACATATATACACAAACACAGAACATTTTAGCATGCTATTTTTATTTACACGTGTTTTTGTAGCGTACGCTCGTTGAGATTGTACATAGAAAAATGCTGCTGAAGATGAGCCGTATTATTAGGCTTGAAACATGTACAGCATAATCAACTACAATAATTGACACCTACTGGCATACGTGATACGTAAGTAGATTATTATCTATAATAGCATATTAAAGGTGTCAAGGCTGATTAATTTGACACATTGAAAGTAAAGTGACATTGGTCAATCTTTGCATTTTCTGTGTTAATTGATGCAATTAATTTAAATTAATATGGTTCTATTCATTATAAGTACTATAGCTGATATATACAAAATAAAAAAAAAACATTTTTGTTCTCTTTTTTTGACTTTTAGAGTTATGAAAATAAATTATACGTATATAGATAAATTTGTTGATAAATAAGACACTATCTACAGCAAATAATTTAAGATATCTACAGATAAATTAATAAATACAGTTTTTGTTTTATTTTCCAAACATTATATTTGCTCAATATCAAAAATATATTTTTATATTGCGTTCGTCTAAATTTTTTTACTTGCAATTAATTTATATTCAAAAGCTAAGTGAGAATATAACTTATTTTAACCAACAATGGACAAAGATATGCACTAAATATAAATTATTTCTTAAATATTTTGGTCTACTAACAATTTGCAATAAATTGGAATCACAACTAACTTAAAAACCTACCAACAATATGTTTGGTTGTTCTTCATCAATAATAAAAGATTTACATCTTTCATAACCGAAAAGAGTTGTAGGTACTTATAAATTTCTTTTCCATGTATTTCACAAGTTCATTTTAAACTAAAATAAATCACCCTATCACTAGTACTGAACAACAACAACACTGAGGTTTGGAGGAAGCAAGACTAAACTGAAGCTATAGAAACTCCCCTTCCTAGCTGTATCATGTTTCTATATTGACCTGAGTTATAAAGGTGAATTTTCTACTGCATATAATATTAAAACTGCTGATTATCCTGGTTGATAAATGTATTTAAATTTGTATTAAAATCACCCCTTTAACTGCACATTTTGAGAAAAGCACAGTTGGATTTTGGTTCAAAATGGTTACAGGGGTAACTTTCATATACTGGTTTTGTAATCTATATATACAGAGTTAATAAAAAGTCTGTAGACTGAAATGAGGGGTCACTCAATGGGGCTTAACATTTGAAATTTTTGAGTTTCCCCCAAAATTCCACATTTCGGAGATGACCACGAAGTAGCAGTTATGCCCAAAAACTACTTCATAACATGTCATAAAGGTGTGCAGAGTTTGGTTTTTCTAGTGTGAGCCGAAAAAAAAATTGACAGGGGGTCTCCAGACTGTTTTAAACCTGTTTTTATATCAAATCCAATGCATGTCGTTTGCCGTATGTTTGTTTGTCCTTTATGCGTTACCAAACCGGCCATTCGATCGTTGTGAAACTTTGGGAAGTTGTTCTATGTGGTACAAGAAGGTTTCTGTCCCATCCCCGTTCTTGAATTCGCTCGGAGCTCCGCTCCTGTGGCTCTGTAGTTTCCCATGTTTACCTTATGGGTATTCATAATTACAAAAAGAATCAAGGATATTGACAGCTGTTTCAAATAAACCAACAGTTTGGGTTCTGTTCAATAGCATTAGAAGGTTACAAGGTTCAACTACAGAGTGCAGCGCTATTACTATCCCCCCCCCCCCCCCCTTTGTAAAGCACTAATATAAATACAGTAGTAACATTTTATTCATTATGCATTTTTAGTAAATGATAAAAATATATAAGTTACTTTCTAATAAGTATCGGCCATAGGCAAATTGGGCAGTCTCATAGCTCATTTGTCAACACAATCGGCACTGAAAAGGCAGAGTGTCGTGGGTTCGAGTTCGAGCCCTAATTTAGCAGCTTTCAGTGTTTTGTCGAAAAACTTATTTTCAAAATATGACAGTAGTGGCAACTTGTGGAACTGAGCTCTTTGCCAGAATTTCCTTTCGCAGAAACAGCCTTATATCCCAATCTTATTTACCAACCTAGTCAATTGTCTGGGTAGCCGAGTAGTGGTTATAGTGGTCACCTTCAAATCTGAGGGTTGCTGGTTTGATCCCAAGCAAGATCATTTCCAGACCCAGATGTCATTTGTTATTGAGGTATGAATTAATGATACCGTACTATCTAACAAAAAGGTCGTCGTTAGTGTCGTTAGATATTAAAAAGACCAAGATTTGGACCCATCCCTTCCAAAACACATAACAATGCCTGCAGCGTAGAAAACCTGACAAAGTTAAAAAAAATTGTTCAGCAATTCTGTAACCATACCAGCTTACCTCATACGTAACTCGATTAAGGCCTTTGAGGCCCAAGTGGATGGGCAAATACAGGGTTGAAAGAAGCTGTCACCCTCATTGAAAAAAAAATCAATTAAATGTTAACTTAAATGTTTAAATGTCTACACAATAGAGTTTGTTAAAACCTTTATTGATCCATACAAAAAACAACCATCTATTGAGCAAGTTTAGGGTAAATCTATTTTTCTATTGTTGAATTTACAAGAAAAGAACATGTGGGTGATACTAAAAATATCAATAACTAACACTATATTTACCTGGTTTAAATTTAAAATACTACCACTTCAGCTGATTCAAGAAGACATTGGTTCCACTAACAGCTGTTCAAATTTCACATTAAACTGGTATCAACAGATCATAGTTCAAAACCTTGACTTTTATCAGTAGAATAACAAATCGTTGGAAGCTTTTAATTACGAGTAATAGTAAGAGCTATACTCGTTCACAAAATTTAGGCAGTTTGAGTGGAAGTTCCCTCCACCACTTTTTCCTTCTTAATGTAGCAGCTGATTGACTTTTTGACAAATATCAGCTGTTGAGCTATTATGTTTTAATGGTATGACCAAGACATGTTTGGGATAGATTTCTCTTCCAAAACCGCCTAAATTTTGTGAATGGAGTATGAAAGAGTTAATAAAGGTAGTAAGTATTTTTTTAAACTTGGTATGGTACTCTTTATTTGGATCTTACAAATATAACAATCTTTAAACAATATTCAACCTTACTTCATCGTTACCTTTGTTGTATTTTACAAGAAAAAACAAGTATTTAGACAATTTTGTATGTTTACAACAACGTTTATTTGGAAGTATTTATGACTTGTTGAACTTTTTGATTAAAATATATTATATTCCTTCCGTTGTGAGAGTGTTATGTAAAAAAGCCATGTTCCGAGTTGTTACTTAAATCTTCAGCAATTAACATGAACACATGACTCATTTCTTTACTGCCCGAGAAGACAAAAAGGTTTGCATTTTCACAGAAAATTTGGGCCAATTTAGAACAATTTGATTTTAGGCTAATTATTTCAAAGAAGAAGTAATGTCAAGACTACTTGGCTGGATTGTGATTAATGGAGTAGACACTAATTGAGTGCTAGGAAGGTAGTAAGAGCAATATCGTTTGGTACAATATGGTTTTATTGTCTATTAAAAAGTGATTACAGCTGTTGCACATGGCTAAGAAGTAATGTCAACCCAGCCAGAGTCACAAACAGGGGTCCAAGGCGATGGAGAGAGGAAGAGCCATTGCATCCGTGCTCAAAACACTGACAGTTAATTTCATAAACATCATCTGATATGTCCTCTTTGCAGTCTGGCGGAGAGTGCATGGTCCAAGCACATTTGCGTATCACAAGGTCTTTCTTGTAAATCTTACCTGTAAATAAACATAGTTTGCAAATCAGATTTTATTACTTAAGCAGGTTTGCCACTTTTGGTTAGGAAAAAATTGGGACATGTCCCCCTACCCCTTGGATTAACATTAGCATAACACAGGCATAAGGGACCAAAGTCGTGACTGTCCCGACAGAATCGGGACGGGTGGCAACCCTGCTCTATACATAATTATGATATTGGTAAAAGTATTGTTTTCGTCAACATTTTTGAGTTGAGTTTTGAGACCCATAACCTAGAAAAAGAGGTTTTTGAAGTGATGCTGTGTGTAGGTGTGTGCAGAGCTGCAGACTACAGCTCATATCACCCAACTATAATGAAATTTAGCTATAGAGGTAACAAACCATGGTAGCATGGTAGTATGGGGGGTTTAATTTTTTCAATTTAATGTTGATGTTAACATAAAATAACATTAAAATCAGATTTTTACAAAAACTTAAACGATTTGATTAAAATTTAGTATGGTCCTTTTAACTCTAAACAAAATGGTACAAACCCCAATGCTGTGAAGATTATGGTACAAAAGTAATTGTAATTTTATCCATAAAATTACTCCCACCGCTGACCACATTACAAGGGATGTTGAAGCTATAATGGGAAAATGTAGGTGTCAGTTTACTGATACTGTTTATTTATGTGTATGGAATATTTGTACTCATAAATTCACACTTGATAAAGAACTCATTACTATATACAAACCGGGGTAAAATAATAAGTCGGAATTATCAGTAAATCTACCCCTGGTGGACATTATAAAAAGAAGGAATAAATGTTATATGGTGAAGCCAGTCAAGGTGAGGGACAACTGAGAGCGTTTGGATACATGGTCTCGGACAGGTGAGGATAGTGACACTGTCGGTGATTAGTTGGATTTATGGATTTGAATCGTCAACCGACTGTATTAATTCATGCAAATGAAATCTCTATGTTACATCACTGTTGCCAATATACAAATCTACACTCAAAACTTTATAAATCAATATGCATATGTTACAGTGTTTTCACTCATACTTGGCTTAAAATACATACTTTTGTATGGTCACCTTCAAAGTAAAGTATTAAAGTAAAATTATTAAAGTGTATGAAGGTGATGTCTTTGTGCATTACTTATATTCGTGTTGTGTACTCTCAAAAAATAATTTTGGTTCTTCATTTTCTGTTGCAAAAAATCTTCCTGTCTCCATGGCTGGTGTGTAAGACAAAGCTCACCAGATAGTTAAGTCACCAGATAAACAGTAAGTTTAGTGGGTATCTGGGAAATTAAATACCATGGACAGATGAAGTCAAGAGCTTGTGAATTGTAGGAAGTGGAACATTTTTCATTAGGACTGCCTTCTCACTAAGTTGCAACCACCTTCAGCCACTGAGCCACTAGATCCGTAAAATTGCATCGGGTCATTGGGTCTTATGGAGCCCTTCACACTAGCTGGTCGCAGCTACCCGCTACTTTTAGGAGGCCAAGTAATGTATATGTGGCCCTTCACATCAGGTAGCTGTGACCTAGCTGTCGGGGGTGCAAACCATCGATCCCTATGGTGCAAACGTAGCTTGTTTTGTCGTCTGACTCCCTTCTCTGTAATTTCTGTCACTGCTGTCCAGTAGTTTGAAGCTGCACACTAACCTGTGAAACTTTCTTGACTTGCGGATCTTTCACTGTTTGTTTTGAGTTATAGTGTTATTTAAGTTGCTTTGATCAGTTCATAGGAGAAGTCTCTGACGAGGAAAAAATAAGACACGCGTCTCCTTGACAAATGAATCATACGATACAAAAAAATGTCTTTTTTTAAGAAGGTCACAGCCAATTGGTGGCAGCCACCATGTTTGAAGGGACAAGCTTGGTTGCGACTTGTACCGGATGATGGTGACCTAATGAGAAGGTGGCCTACTATCCAAGAAGCAGAAAATACTCACATTTCTTGTGGTATTTAAAGATCCTAGCAAAGATGCCACAACAGGGTACAGGGATTCATAAAAACTTTACATTCAAACCAACCAATCAAATTAAATTTCAAAACATTGGGTCATTGGGCATTTAATATCAATGCTTTCCAACAGTATGTGGATTTGGAAAATAAAAAGACTATGAGATGGAATGATGCCTCGAACTAAGATTTAACTTAGTCAGAGATATATCACAGCAAAACTGGAAAACAAAACAAACCTCTTATACAATGACTTTAGGAAAAATCAGTTTAAAAACAGAGACAGGCCAAATTTTGATAAAAAAATTGAATTAATGAACATTTTATTGTGCCTGCTGTGTCAACTAAAATGTTTGGAAGGCTAAAAAGATCATTAATAAAAATAAACACATAAAAACATTGTCATCATGGTCTGTGTGTTATATGTTCACTTCTTCTAAAACTGGGTTGTGCGTTGTGGATAACAGAAAGTCTAAAAAATGTTTAAGTTTGGTGAACATTAAAGTGTTAAAGTTTGTTCAAAAAAATTTCCTATAGTCAATTGTTAGTCAACGGTGTACTCAGACAACATAAAACTAAATATGTTTTCTATATACTAAAACTATGTGTACTTACTTCTTTTGACAATTTTTTGACAAAACGGTGGAGGGCCATCAGAAGCAGGGCATAGACTTAAAAGGGGATTGCTTGCATCAAAGGGCGGCTTTATAACAACACATCCATCATCTAACCATGAATCACACTGGAAGCAGTACAAAGGACCCCTCACAGGAAAGCTACGGAATCCAATGTCTGTTGAGTTGCTGAGTTCAATGTTCGGTAAGCTGCTAATTTCAATGTTCTTCAAGCTGTTCACTGTGTTGCTGCCAATGCTACTGTTCTGACTTGTCACCCCTGAAAACCCATTGAAATTAAACACACCGGTAATGAGATGTCCTAAAGGATATTCTCTTGGTGATGTACTTAGCGAAACTTTTAATAATCTTTGCCAAAAGTCTTCTTTAAATAAATATGCATTTTTAACCCCATCTGTGAGTACTGAAATGCATAGTGTCTTGATAGGTACTTAAAGTGCTTGGTTAGCATTCCAGAATTACAGTCCTTCTAAACAAAACTCTTCTTCCTTTGTAATTATAGATAAGTTACCAGGATTAGGAAGGATACTTTTGTGTTACTTCCTGTTATTTGGAAATACCGTGCTGTTAATTATGTCAACAAAAAATTGTGTTACAAAGAACTTATGGTAGCCTGCTCTTAAACCTTTTAATTACAAAGAATCATTCATCGATTCAGCCTTGCAGATAGTCAGTTTACAGATAGTCAGGTTAAGTACAAACATTGACTATACACTACTATTATTACTTACTATTAGAGTTGAGGTACATAAAACCATAGTAAAAGAAGGCTAAAGTCATGATGGTTGCAAAATCCAAAAACTTTTTCATGGAAGCGCGGACGTTTGTTCACCCTCTTCCACAGTTATGGAAAGTCATCGTTTTCCATGATCGTGGCCGAATCTTTAATGTATCCAGAGGTTGTGTAGACATAAATCATTGTCTCCCACGGTCATGGAAAGTCGTCACCGTTTTCTGCAATCTCGTTAAAATCTTATGTTCATCTTCTGCGGTCTTTAAGTCGTAATCATCGTCTTCTGCAGTCACGGAAAAAATGTTACCTCTTTCTCCGCGATTTCAGTGAGCAGTGACAGTTAGACCTTGGCTTCCTCCCGAACTATGGTTATGGGGGTGTTATTTACACCACTGGTGGTGTAGCCTAAGCTTAAAAGGGTATTTCCCATTGCTCTACCAAATACAGGTGAATTCCTTACATGTTGCACACCATAGCTGACTGTATTTGAACCCTAGTAGGTTTCTCCTGGCCAGGGAGAAAACACCTTTAGACTGATCAACCATGTACCATGTACACATCTGACACCCTATCACATAGCAAATACTGGTAAACTCATTGACCAAGGGTAGTAGTTATAAGCTTTAATTCTATGTTTTAGCATAATTATGTTAAGCTGGGCATTCCTAGGCGCGGAAGCAGAACGGTGTGCGGAGAAACAGTTTTCCGCTTGTCAAAGTCAACCTTTAGGATAACAGTACCATTACCTATGAAGAGAGGAGTGTGGACTTTGCTCTCTTTGGCTGGTAGATAAACTGTTATATGCAGGAAATTTGAAGGCAAATCTAGGGATTTTTAATTTTGGTGTAAGACAAATTTTGGAGGAATATAGACGGCAAGTCACATGTGATCAATTGTCCACTTGAAGCGGTGAATAGGAGAGAACAATTGGAAGTTTTAAATAGAAAGTTCTGGAGTTGAGAAAAGATAACTTGATGAGAGACAAGGAAACAATTGAGACATTTAGCAACGTAGCTAGAGCTAGGGTAATAGGAAGAAGTAGGGATACATACATAGGAAAATGCAAAGAAATAAACAAATAAAGAAAGAAATTTAATGATAATATTCCTGAGAAGGTGATTGGGGAGGTTAGTGGAAATCCCAATGATAGAATAGCTGGGTAGCTCAGTGGGCATAGTATGTAGCTTTTTCATGGAAACTGGATCCGGCTGTCCTTGATCATTGAGCTTTTAACAAACAGTCCTGACTAATAAAACAGCTGATCTTAGTCAGTAACATAGCTACACAAGGCATCACACTCCTTTCTACACTCATCCTTCACTCATATTTGGGTTAAAATATGCACATAGATGGTGTCCCCGCCTCAAATGATAATGATAATGATACAATCACTCTGGGTGGTAGGGGGAGGGGAGTCGGTCTGTTCGGGTTTTGTTTGGGACAAAGAATGCGTCTGGAAGAGGATTGAAAGTGGCCGAAGCCTGAGAAGAAAGATTTCCTATCTATGGTAAGCGGCCAGGATAATAAGTCCCAGACTTAAGCCAGGCATGGTGGTGGTCACGAGGGGCTTTGACCCCAGCATGTCTGCTCTCCGCTTCTGTGCCTAGGAAAACCCAACTTCAGGTAGAATTTCCATCTTCGTTTCTGCTTAGTTATATTTTGTGTGCTTAGTTATAAATTGTTGAAAGTAAAGGATTTGCTATGTGACTGGTGGTGGCCAAAATATAGCGATTTTGCCACTTTTGTCTCAATGCGGCTTTGTATTAAAAGAGGCTATGCTAACATACACTCTACAAACAAAAATTAAAATCTATGATCTGTTTAGCATAATTGGCCTGTTTGACCAATGGCTCATCTAAACCTACAAGGTCTATATTAAATATTACTTACCATGTATAGCAAGTGCAAAAAGAAAACTAGCGGCAGGTATGTTCCACATCTTGAAATTCATGTTGCCTAAAGGTGATAAGAAAGATTAATACAATAACATTACCGTAAGTTAAAATATGTAATCATTAAATTACTTTTTGCCATAGAACTGTACATTTGTGCAAAACAAAATTCCAACATATAAAACCTTTGTACTTATTCAGCTTCATACAAAAATTGTCATTACTGTTGTTAGACAACTTTTGGGGCATTTTTAGTAAAACATAAAATTATTGTCTTAAGTCAAGCAGGAAATTAAAATCTTAGTTTGTGCCTCTTCAAATGCTCAGACTGTTGTACTAACTTGGGTCGTATACTTTTTTTTAAATACTATTTTTATGACTAATTTGTTGTGGATTCTAAATCTAAATTATAGGATTAAATATTTGCACCATCTTACAATGAAGTCCTTTGTTGAATAATTGTACAACTAACTATAAAGTGATATTTCATCCACACTTACAATGCAGAATCACAATATAAAATTAATAACTAAACATATTTTTACGTGTACTTTACTTATCTTGGAAGTATTATTGCATTTAGTCTTGATAAGCTCATTGTTATTTGTTAATAGCCTGAACATTATAATGATACATCAAACACCATGCATTTCAAACCAAACTACAAGAGGTAAATCATAAGTAAGCATGTTGAGATTAAAGTACTTCCATCATATCAGATCAAAATTTTTATGGTCAAATACAGAACCCTGTACTGTATAGATTTTCTCAAGATGACAATCATGTTTGTTACTTTTCTATCAAGTATTGTATTTCTAAGAATTGATGGTTCGTAAGATTTTCTAAGGACAGTAATTCCAAATTATATTTTTTAATCGTTTTTCATTGAACTTCCAAGCCATGGAAACATAATGTTTTTTTTTGCAAAGGTTTGTTTGGGTTTATGAAGGGAGTAGTGTGAAGTAAGAAAGTAGTTCTCAAAGCTTCACAAGGCCTGGACTGATGGGTGGATGGTAGAGTAAGGCAGAGCGGGCAGGACCAGATGTTACCTACGCTTCTTATATCAGGTCATGGAACTGAAGAAGGCAGGAAGAAAGAGTATGAAAGGATGGCATCAGCAGTGCAGGACAAACCAGCGCGGAAAAAGGGGTACACAAGAAAGTACTCCCCCCCCTGAATAAGAACTCTTTGAGAATGTTAACTGGTTTTCTAAAAACACCCAGACATCTATTGGCTGAATGTGATGCACTTGGGCGAAAGAGAGCCAAGAGCTTGGGAATGCATCAAGTGGCAGTTGGAGATTTTCCGCAGTTAGAACACCACCTGATGCTGAACTTCATTAAGGAGTTAGGATTGGAGGGGGTTCTCTAGGCAAAGACTGGAGACTAGTTTAGGGGACACAAAGATCTTACAGGTTGCAGTGTAATATCAGTATTATCAGTATCAGTACCCCAGGTATTATCAGTATCAGTATCAGATGGGTGGATGAATCGATGAGTGAAAATCTCCAATTGGAGTTAATGAAGTAGATTTTAATGTGCGATTTGCCATGAGAGATAAAGCATTGTCATGAAAAAAAATGTTGGACATCAATATTTTAGTTTAGCAATTTTTGATCTGTATGCACCATTTTCAAACAGAAATTTAATTTATTACATTGTTCCGTAGACATAACACACTTTACAATAAATGTCTTTAGTTTTTAATTTTGTACGAGCAAAAACTGTATTATAGACCGCACCTCAGAGCTGGGGAGATATTCAATTGCGGCGCACTTTTCCATCTTAAATATTGCAACAATTGGCAGTGCAAAGAAACTTCTGCTACTATGACTCCAACAATAGGCAGCAAACCAACATATAATGGGTAAGGTAATCAAATTCACAAAAACCCTGCCGATAAAATAAACAAGTATATACATTTAATTTACAAAAGTAATAAATATTTAAAGTATTAAAGGAGAGGAACTTGAACACCCTGATGTCTCTCATGACGCCAATGTGTAAATGACAGCCAACACGCTGACTAGGGTTGCTGCAGCGAGGGATGTGCGGACAGCTCCGTTGCATCCGTCAGAGAAACACTGGCAAACTACCTCCGTGTGGTCATCATTGCTGTTGAAGTAACAGTCCCCTTTGGTGTGTCTTTCCCATCCGCACTTACGAATCACTCGAACCATCTCTCGCTCAAAAACTACAACAAGAGGATCATGTTTATGTAAAATATATCAACCAGACTATATCTTTCTATCCCCCGTTGATAAAATTTAGGTGGTTTTAGGGAAAGAAATCTATCCCCTACATGTCTTGATCCTACCATTAAAACATAGCTCAACAGTTGAGATTTGTCAAAACGTCAATCAGCTGCAACAAAAAAGTGGTATTATACCTGCTGCCTAATTCTACCTGAAGGTACTGGGTGAGATGTTTACCCTAGTACATTAAAATAAATTATTGTAGATTACTGCATGCAAAAAGGATATCTAAATATTTATTTGTAAGGAAAATTTTCTTAGTCTCCAGGTTTGCTGCAACAGGATTATTGAGTGTTTATAATTGAGGTGAAAATTTACCTCTGCTTGCAAGCACCAAGTAATTCCAAACTGGATCTTTGTCTTATTTTTCTTGAGTGTATTACGGACCAGGTTTTTTTTAAAGTGTACATCTTAGGTCATTGTATCAGGAAAATCCATTCTTTAATGTTAAGTGTGATCTTGTGTAGATATTTCCCACCTCTAGGTTCTGGCCCAGAGGTTTTTCCACATTAGAGGAGGCGGGATCACTCATATAAAATCCATTGGTGATTGGCGGGATTTGAACCTAAGACCTCAGTGACTGAAGTCCCACGCTCTACCGCTTAGACCAACCTGCTCTCCCTTCCTGGTGTGGATTAATCCACACCAGGAAGGGAGGTAAAAACATTCAAGGAAGTAAAAACATTAATTTTACTAACTGTTTTGTACGATCTTGCGACAGAAGGGCTTTGCTCCCTTGTACTCTCCATACTCTATGCAAGGCTTGTAGTGGGGACTGGCGGTGTTGTTAGCTTGAAGGTTCGGACAGTCTGGGTCGAGACCTGAGTTGCACTGGAAGCAGAAGATCGGCTGACCGTCCGAGTCTTCCAGGATGTTATCCTGACTTCTCGTTCCAGCTAAAACAAAAAACAAAAACAAAAATAATTGAGTTGATTCATGTATGGTGTTTTTGTGATTGTGCATTTCAAATTGTCCGTCGTAATTTTGTTAATGGGGTTTTCTTACAGTATTTTATGACATGAATAAAAAAAGTTTATAAAAGAAAAGTGTCTGAAAAAGGAAAAAAAATTGTGACTGTATGCAAAAATGCAGCAGTTCAGGTGGTGGTTTGGAGGATAAAACTTTTTGGTAAGAGGATGTATGAAAAGAGCAAACTAGGCTTCACACAAACTAGTTAGCTATCGTTACTGGATGATTATCATGGAACTTTCAGATTTAGAGTGCAAAACACTGTGTAAGAAATGTAAATTTATTCATTCATTTATTTATTTATTACTCTTGACAATTTTTACATTGTATAGCATATAATAGTTATTCTAATATTTATAGTTACATAGAGGTTATTTAAAAAAATTACACTTTAAATTAAAGTTAACTTTTAACAAATAAATCACTACATTCATAAAATAAAAATAAGAGGAGCAACATTTACCCGGCTTTCATTGATCATTGGGCTTTTAATAAATGGTCCTGAATAATAAAACGGTCTTAGTCAGTAACAAGCTACACAGAACACAACACATAATGCATCACACTCATCCTTCACTCATATTTGGGTTAAAATACACACATAGGTGGCGTCCCTATCTCAAATGAATATGAATACCTACACTACTACAACCAAGTTGGTAAACTAATAATGGGCAGAATTTGAGAGAAATTTTTACTTTCTCCCCCTAAACATTATATCGAGAAAGTATTGGTTGCGTAAAAATTTTCGAGTTTGAGTTTTGAGTGGATACATCCGTTTTGGGTCCCCCTGAACTCAAAAAAGTGGTTTTCGAAGTGATGTCTGTGATTGTGTGTGGATGTGTACAGAGCTACAGACCACACCTGTCATCCGATTTTGATGAAATTTGGTACGTAGGTTATAATCCATTATTTCTCCTGACGTTTTTTTTTTCATTTTTTCAAAATTTTTATTTTTAATGGTGATTTCCCATAAAAAACCATAAAATAACGGAAAACTAGGATTTTTCTCAAAAACGGCCTGAACGATTTTGATAAATATTTTACCTACGACCGTTTTTTAAAGTAGCCATTTCAGTCCAGTTCTTAGAATTGAAAAGTTTCACTTTACAGCTGTTTACTTTCATATCCGCATAGTTTCATTTCATATCCGCATAGTTTTCTCATATCCACACAGGTAACGGACCAATGAGGTTCAAGTATTGAGAGAAAAGAAATAAAATTGTAATGCTTCGAACGTCAACTAATCAGCTGATCAGCTGATCAGTTGACCAATTTAATTGTTGATCCGACTAGTTCATGTTGATACTCGCATATTCTTAATTAAGTTGGTGGAAGTCCAAAAATAAATGAAATATTTGCCGAATTGTACCTGATACAATATTATTTATGGCAAGAATGCTGCTAGCAATGTAATATTTAACGAAGTTTAACATACACGTAATTACAGGAAATCGGCTGATTATTCAACAAGTCGTTGCATCAGTTTCAGTGGCAATGACAATACACGAAAACATAACCTCTCTAAAAAGTTATCATTAGTGATTGTTAGTAATTAAATCCAGATTGATAGTAATTAAAAAACGGTCGTAGGTAAAGTAGTGTACGCAACTCGCGTTAATAGTCTTTACGACACTCGTAGAAGTTTTTAAGGCACTCGCCAAGGCTCGTGCCTTAAATTTTCTACTCGTGTCGTAAAGACTCACTTAACGCAATCGTTGCGTAAACTACTATAGTGTGTTAAAGTCCTTTAAATTCTGAACAAAATGGTACAAATTCCATTTCCGTAAAAAGTACCAATCAAACGTTATTGTAACTAATGTTATTTCCTATAAAACCCCATAAAATAACAAAATATCGGATTTTAGGAAAAAAGCCGGTTTTGATTCAAATTAATGTATCATGGTCCTTATAACTCTAAACAAAAATAGTACAAACCCCCATTGCTGTAACAATTATAATTCAAAAGTTATTGCAGCTTTTATGATTTATCCCTATAGAACATCATATAGTTACTCCCACCGCTTACCCATGATAAAGGCTGTTTACTTATGGGTGAAAGTATGTGTCAGTTTGCTGATACTGTTTATTAAATTTGTCTTTGGTATGAGTGATATAGGCCTAATGCTTTACAGCCAAACCTACCTTTGTAAATAGTATGATAATGCAGGCCTTGTAAAGTAAAACTAATGTTCCCACCAATTTAGTTGGGTTTTTGGATGTCAGTTACTTTATTTAAACTGCTTCCTTAAATTATTTAAGTAATAACTTAAATTGCTGGATTATGTCTACAACAAACTCAGTACCAGAAAACATTATGATGGACTTTGGGATCCTAAACACAACCTTTAGGAATTTGAAAAACAGCATTTTTTCATTTAAAAAAATTTTTTTTAATGGTGATTTTCTATACAAACCCATAAAAAAACGGAAAACTAGGATTTTCTCGAAAACGGCCCGAACGATTTTGATAAATATTTAGTAGGCCTATGTTAAAGTCCTTTCAATTCTGAACAAAATGTCAAGGCTTTACCAATGAAGTTCTACATAAATCTGTCAATAATGGACATTAATTTGTTCTGTTAATTTGTTATTCACCCACAACATTGTCTTGTCTGCATTTTTTTAAAGAATGCAATCCAACCCCTTTAATTATTACTATCTAGTTCAAACTTTTGTTAGATAACATCATTTATTTATAGCACAATATAAAATTGCACCTAGGTCCGGGTAACCTAGAAATCTATGATCAATGTATGAGTAAATAATTATTATTGGACAATAATTAAAACACATAGAACTATTATCATCAAGCAATCATTGTTTAGGATATAATATCAACAAAGTTACAATCTAACAGATGGCAGTGGTATTAAAAGCGGAAGTTTCCAGTAAAGTGAAAAATACTTGCTGCCAACGTAACAAGCATAAATAATCTCTTCAAAATCAATCAATACAAACAAGTACTGTTAAAATATTATAGACAGACAAGACAAAATTAATAGGACTTTACAAAAGATTGTATTTATTTGTACTGTTTACAAAAACCATAATAATCGATAAAACATATGTTAGTTAAACTGTATAAAGAAGGCAGGCATAGATTAGACATAGATTATTACATTCTAATAATCTATGTCTAATCTATGCCTGCCTTCTTTATACAGTTTAACTAACATATGTTTTATCGATTATTATGGTTTTTGTAAACAGTCCAAATAAATACAATCTTTTGTAAAGTCCTATTAATTTTGTCTTGTCTGTCTATAATATTTTAACATTGGTGCCGAAACCCGACTTATAAATCATGTCAAAAAATATGTCAATCCGAAAGTCAGTGAGAGAGAAACACCCTCCAAATAGATATTCCCCAGAAAATGCAAATGACAAGAATGATGAACCCAAAGAAGGAGATAGTCAATCTCTAAAACCACCTTCTAAGTCAAAAACCAAATCTTCAACTTCCAGCAAGCGCCGGTTAGTTCAACTGCAACTAGAAGAAATAGAAGAAATAAACAGGCTTGAGAAAATACACGAAGAAAGGGAGTTGCAACGGCTGAAAGAATTTGAAGAAAAGGAGATGGAGCGACAGAGACAAGAGATGGAGCAACAAAGGCAAAGAGAGGAGAGGGCAATGGAACGACAACGTCAAGCTGAAGCAAGAGAACTAGAACGACAGAAGCGTCTGCTGAGAGTAAGGACCGAACTTGAGTCTGCTTCGGTCTTGGGAAGTAGTCAGTCCGCCTCAGTCTTGGGCAGTCGTCATTTGGAATTGGAAGATAATGAAGACCCTGACAAGGTAAGCTTCAATATTGATACTGTTGAGGAGGACTCTAATGTCAAAGTCAATAGGTGGCTGAATGAGGAACCGTCAGTTCCTTTGACATCGTCAGCCATCGTGTCTACGGCTATTGATAAACTAGCAGACTCCTTTTCAAAAGCTATCAATTCATCTAACCCCAACCAACCTGTCTCATGCCGACAGCGTCTTCCATCCTTCAGCGGGAAACCGGACGAATGGCCCATGTTCTATTCCTGTTACAATAAGACTAAACACCTTTTTAATGACGATGAAAACCTTGACAGAATAAGAAATTGTCTGGAGGGAGATGCCTTTAAAATGGTAAAACCTCTATTTATATCAGGTAAAAATTTGAGTACAGTAATGAAAACTTTACAAATGCGTTTTGGACGTCCAGAGTTTATAGTCGAGTCAATGTTGAAGAAGGCGCGCATGCTCCAACCAGTCAAGGAGGATGACGCTGTCAGCCTTATTGAGTTTTCAACAACTCTTTTAAACCTGACCTCTACCGCAGAGTCGTTGGATTTGGAAATGTACCTAATAAATCCTCTCTTGTTGAATGAACTTTTAAGTAAGCTCCCCTATACCCTGAAGTACAGGTGGGCTGAACATGTATTCGAAAACTAAGTGAAGATGAGGCAAGTATTTTAAATGATCATATTTATTATCTACCTCATTTCGGAGTTGTGAACCCCAATAAGCCCAACAAATTAAGATTGGTCTTTGATGCAGCTGCAAAGTCGAACGGTGTATCATTTAATGACGCTCTTCTTAGTGGACCTGACCTTTTGAATCCATTACCAGCTGTTCTCGTAAAATTTCGTCTGGGAAAATTTGCTGTCGCTGGTGATATTAAGGAAATGTTCCATCAGGTACGCATAAGGAAAGAAGATGTAGATTCACAGAGATTTTTGTGGAGGCAAAACACGAATGATCCTCCAGATACGTATGTAATGGAGGTGATGACATTTGGGTCGACCTGTTCTCCAAGCACTGCTTTATATGTAGTGAACGAAAATGCCAAACGTTTCTCATCCATCTACCCTGAAGCTTCTAAATCAATTCTCACTAAGGAATACATGGATGATTTATTAGACTCTGTCAATTCTGAGGAAGAAGCAAAGACTCGAGTGAAAGAAATAATGGAAATTCACAAATCAGGTGGATTTCAAATGTGCAATTGGTTATCAAACTCCAAAGATGTTTTATCTGGAATTCCTGAAGAACTGAAATCAAATTCAACTAAGCAATTAAAGCATGATAGCAATCTTCCCACTGAACGAGTTCTCGGAATGTGGTGGGATTCAGAAAGCGACAATTTCGTATTTCATCGCAATGCAGAAAAATTGCAAAAAATGGAATCAAGTTATCCAACTAAACGTGAGGTTTTGAAGGCTGCGATGTCTAACTTTGATCCTTTGGGACTAGTCACCCCTACTACAATCAAAGGTCGAATATTAGTGCAAGAGATTTGGAGAACAAAAACAACATGGGATGAAGTACTAACAACAGTACTTACTAAGAAATGGCAAGAATGGTTGGAAGAAGTTAAACAACTAGAATATTTTACCATTCCGAGATGCTATTTCAAAACCCTTATGATAAATGAGGTTGAGCTTCATGTCTTTGTCGATGCAAGTGAAGAAGCGTACTCCGCTGTTGGATATCTAAGACATAAGAATACTAACGAGAATACTGGATACAACACTATGTTGGTTATGTCGAGAGCAAAGGTGGCTCCTCTAAAACCAACTACCATACCAAGACTGGAACTACAAGCTGCTGTCCTTGGATGTAGGCTTGTTAAAACAATTATACACGACCTAGACATCAACTTCGTCCGAAAAATATTTTGGTCAGATTCTGTTACGGTGTTACATTGGATAAAATCTGATCCGAGAAGCTTTAAACAATTTGTTTCTAACCGACTTGTGGAAATACTTGAAGTTTCACAAGCTGATGAATGGAAGTGGGTACCATCAAAAAATAACCCTGCTGATGTCGCTACGAGAAGCAACCAGAAATTCACTACAAGTAATCATGAATTTTGGACTTATGGCCCCGAGTTTCTAAAATACGACTCAAGTCATTGGCCTCAGCAACCGACAACCTTGCAAACAAAAAACAGCGAAGAGGTGAAACAAAAGTTCGTTGGGTTACTCAACGAAGACAAAGAAGACGTTATCAATATTGAGAGATTTTCTTCCTGGAATAAGGTAACACGAGTAACTGCGTGGGTTCTGAGATACATTGGTATATTGCAATCCAGGATCAAAAGAAATGACAAAGACAGACTGAAGAAGAACTCTAACCCCAGATTGATACTGGAACTTCAACCAGAAGAAATTCTTAAGGCTGAACACATCTTAGTGTTGAATTCCCAAGACAAAACTTTTAAAGAAGAAAAGACCTTATTAAGAAATAGCAAGTCACTACCGAAGTCAAGTAAAATATTCACATTGGATCCTTTCGTTGACGAGAAAGACCTCATCAGGATGTCTACAAGAATACGAAATTCTCCTGAAATCAGTACTGAACGAAGATATCCAATTATTTTAGATGGAAAATGTCAAGTAGCAAGACTTATTGTGAAGGAACTTCCATGAAAAATGCTTCCACCAAGGAATAGAAACCGTAATGAACATGACAAGAGAACGGTTTTGGATACTTAATCTTCGCACAACAGTGAAGAAAGTGCAAAGAAGCTGTATGCGTTGTAGGATTGACAACGCCAAACCAAGTCCACCTCAAATGGCACCCCTGCCAATGTCACGAGTAGTCAAGGCACAGTATCCTTTCTTTTACACTGGTGTTGACTATTTTGGCCCAATTGAAGTAACTGTTGGCCGAAGACATGAAAAGCGATACGGTGTAATATTTACATGCCTTTCTACACGAGCAATTCATCTCGAAGTGGCTCATTCGTTAAGTACGGAGAGTTGCGTTATGGCAATTCAAAGGTTCATAAGTCGGAAACCTTGCCCTTCTGAGATGTTTTCTGACAATGGTACGAATTTTGTAGGAACAGACAATGAACTTCGAAATGCTGTTAAGTCTTTAAACAACGCCCAGATTTAACGGACAGTCGTAAAGAGTGGGATTAAATGGAATTTCATTCCTCCCCGTGCGCCACACATGGGGGGATGTTGGGAGAGACTGATAAGGTCAGTAAAAACAGCATTGAAAAGTGTCATGCGATCCCAGTACCCGAAAGATGAAGAACTGCAGACGTTTTTGACTCGCGTGGAGTTTATTATTAACTCACGTCCACTCACACACTTATCAATTGACCCGTTGGACCCTGAGCCGATCACACCAAACCACTTTCTACGCGAAGCCTACAAAATAAATATTGATGAAGATAAACTATGTAAGAAACAACTAGCCCGCGTAAGAACACTTTTGGATAGTTTTTGGAAGCGATGGGTCCAAGAATACCTGCCCTGTTTGTCAAGACGTTGTAAGTGGCACAAACTAATGGAACCGCCTCAAATAGGGGACTTGGCTATAATAGTAGAAGAAGACAATCAAAGGAATTCATGGCCTCTTGGAAGAATATCAGCCATTTACCCCGGTAAAGATGGCGTTATACGAGTTGTGGACATCAAAACAACCAAAGGTACATTCCGGCGCCCTCTTACCAAGGTCGCAGTTCTTGGGGGGGAGAGAATGTAATAATCTATGTCTAATCTATGCCTGCCTTCTTTATACAGTTTAACTAACATATGTTTTATCGATTATTATGGTTTTTGTAAACAGTCAAAAATACACATCTTTTGTGAAGTCCTAATAGTCTTTTATCTTGTCTGTCTATAATATTTTAACAAGTACTATACAGGGTGTTTCGAAACTCTCTCCCAAAACTCCGTGAGCATGTTCCTAAGGTAAAAACAAACCAAAAATATCATATAAACATATGTCCTATCTCGCTTTGTTATCCGTCTGTCGGTGTGTATGTTTTTTTACACAACTTACCGTAACTTTGGAACCACTTGAGGTACTAACTTTAAACTTGGTACGTGTATAACGACTAATAGGAACTATTCTTTTGCATCAAGTTTCTACTTTGTATAATTTCAAAGTGGTGGCCATTTTAATTTTTCAAAGTTTAATAACTCAAAAACCATAGGATTTATAAAAAGGTTACAAACGACAAAAGGGATGGAAATTTAATTCACTTTAAAGAACTGTACAATGTTTATAGGGTCATAACACAAATTACGGAGACAAATTAAATTTTCCGGAGTTAAAACAAACAATGTGGGCAAATTCAATAAATTAGCAGGTATTACCTTTAAAAATGTTCTCCAATTTTTGTGTTATGACCCTATACAAATTGTACATTTCTGTAAAGGGGTGACCACTAATGTAGTTTTATGATACACAGAACAAGTTTGAAGTTGGCACCTTAAGTCGATTCAAAGTAATGGGAAGTTATTAAAAAAATACATACACACTGACAGACGGAAAACGAAGCGTAGGGCATTATGTTGCCTTTATATGATATTTTTGGTTTGTTTTGAACTAAGGAACATGCCGACGGAGTTTCAGGAGCAAGTTTTGAAACACCCTGTATGTATAAAACACAAATGGCACGTATGAATACAAGAAGTGGTTGGTTTATAAATCCAAAGATTTTTTAAGTGAAAGAGTAAAATTTTATTTAAAGTTTAATTTAATTTATCATTCATAGCTTTTTTACTTTCTCCCCCTATACCATAGTATATGGAGAAAGTATTGTTTTCGTCAAAATTTTTGAGTTTGAGTTTTGAGTGGATGTATTCGTTTTGGGTCCCCCTGGACCCAAAAAAGTGGTTTTCGAAGTGATGTCTGTGTGTGTGTGTGAGTGTGTGTGTCTGTGTGTCTGGATGTGTACAGAGCTAGAGACTACACCTGTGGTCCGATTTCGATGAAATTTGGAATGCATGTTCTAATCCATGGTATCTCGAGGCGTTTTTTTCAGTTTTTTGAAATTTTGATTTTTAATGAGGATTTTCCCATAAAAACCCATAAAAAACCGGAAAAATCGGATTTTCTCAAAAATGGCCCGAACGATTTTGATAAAAACTTAGTATGTTGTAGCCCTTTAAATTCTGAACAAAATGGTACAAATCCCATTTCTGTAAAAATTACGGTTCAAAAGTTATTGTAAATTATGTTATTTTCCCATAAAAAAAACCCCATAAAATAACGAAAAATAGGGTTTTGGACAAAAATCCGGTTTTTACTTAACATAGTATGTTATGGTCCTTACAATTTTTATAGTTTTTTTTAATTTTTTTTAATTTTTAATTTTAATGGGGATTTGCCCATAAAACCCCATAAAATAACGGAAAAATCGGATTTTCCCAAAATTGGCTCCAACAATTTTGATAAAAATTTAGTATGTTATAGTCCTTTAAATTCTGAACAAAATTTTTCAAATCCCATTTCCGTATATTTACTCTCACCGCTTACACACGATGAAGGCTGTTGACAAACTTATGGGAGAAAGTATGTGTCAGAGTGCTGATACCGTTTATTTATATTATACGTCTTGTCGATACATATTTTCAATACTTAATGACTTTTGAAAGGGTTGATTCTCAACGCAGTTAACATTCTTGTCACTGTAATTAGATATGCTATGCTTTATGATAAATAATCACTTGTGTTTAGGTAAAATAATGATACTGGTACATGGTTAGAACCGTTCCATTGAAAATGCAATTTACAATAGGCATTTATCAATAATTTTTCAAACCAACTTTGCGTTCATCTCCAGACATCAAAACAAAGATTTCGTTAAAACACCACAGAAGTATGGCCTTGAAAAAGAACTTTCGTCGTGCACACTCTCTCTCTCCATCTTTCAGCTATGGAGATAAAGGAGTAGACTAATAGAAGTTATCCACAGTCAATTTCATAGTTCATGTATTATAAAAACCTGATATTTTAAAAGAAATTTAATATTTCTTATTACACAATAAATTAACGAAACAATAACACTGATATTGCTAACCTGGAAGCAGTGCTAGAAGGAGTACGACCGTAGTAGTTAGAAGTGGGTACATTTCTGGAACGATTTTGTGATTTTCTCGTTGCTAGGGCAAGATAAGCGAACTGAAACAGTACACAAACATTGATTACACTTATTAGATAATGATATCCAGTAAAATCTGCTAAAAAGCAGTTTAATATCCGTAAGAATAATCAATGATATTATCCCCACTTTCTCATCATTATTAAATTCATTCTTAGGAGCATTAAAAACACAAGTTGAAGATCAACACTGTAAATTTGTATACATTTGTGACATCATAAAAGTACTTTGATTTGGGGACTTGTCTCAATCCTGAAAAGGCCTTTTTTCAAATTTTTTCGCAAAATTTCGTCTTGGTAAAAATTACTGGTAGGTATACCTACTGTACTTATTAATAATGTTTCATGTAAATATCTTTACAATTATATGCCATTTCAATGTGATGGTTGACAAACTGTAAATAATAGTCTACAGTAACAGGACGCTAACAAAGAACCTTAAATCTAGCAATTTGTTTTAATGTGCCAATTTTGAGCTTCAAGTCCAATATATTACAAAACGTAATGTTGTGTATGATAAACTATGAAATATGGTGTAAGAAAAACAATTTTAAGGTCCGTAATGATTTTTTTTCTTTCACATACACTTAAATACATTTAAATTAACCAGATTTTTATTGTTAAAATTATTGCAGTTTCGTTGTTATTATGAAATTATGTTTCTTTATCCAAACGATGAAAAGATCCGCATGAGTTTGATTAATCCGTTGGCCTAAACTTTACACCTTTATTGATTAACCCTACGTACAATAACAAATTAATTAAATACTCTATTCGGTGTTCAGATAAAGTTGAAATCTCATATATTTTACTTTTCAATCAAACGAATGTATTTCGGTTTAAGGTACAGAAACAGTCTAGCCAACGATGTTATTTGACTTATTCATTGATCGCTGGCATTCCAAAACTCTTTTTTTTTTAACTAATCAACTCAATAGATTAATAGGAAATATACATGATCTGAGAATTCAAAGCAATATTTTGCTTTCCAAAAGTAAACAAATTGACACGAATTGAAATTTTAATGCAAAACGCTAGTTAATTCAAACACACATTTTAAGGTTATTTCAATTAGGTTATACCAAAATAGTCAAAGGTTATACCATGGATAAAACATACTTTTTGTTTTGCTTAGTCTATGGTTATACAATGCAATAGTATTACGTAGAATTACTGTTTCTTAAAAAGTCCGTTTGATAGTAGTTTTTAATAAGTTTAATCGTTTTAAGAAATAAAATCCCTAAACAAACATGGCGTGGTATTGGTTATGGTATTCCGTAGCAAAGATCTATATGCTATCTTGGAGTGAGGAAAATGTCTTAAACCACAGCCACCTCTAATAAAACACACAAACGACGAATAAGGAACCATGTCAATAATAATACAAGTGTTTTGAGTCTGAATAGTAATTAATCAAAAGTATGTAAGACACACAATAACCCACACGTACTGTTAGTATTATTTATTTAGTTTATTGTTGACATTATCTTTCATTGATAACAAGGGCCAAGACAGTGAGTAGTTAGTGGAACTAGACTGTGATCTGATTCAAAGGTCACGAAATCTGACTTTAAGTTAGTTTATACTGGTTTGAAGTTAATTTTGAAAAGATCTCAGTGATTTGAAGGATTACAAATCCCAGTTTCCCTAAGAAAGAAGTCTTAGTTACTGTCAATAGCTCAAAAACCATAAATGCAAAACTGAACAGTTTCTGTAATTTAAGTGTGAAAAACTCTGAGTTTTTTATGATTAACATAATGACGATTTAACATAGCTCACTTTTCCTTCGTGTAAACTCATTACTCGGATATCTCATCGTAAACAATATTAAAATGCATAGGGGTTTGCTGATGTATGGGTTAATTTGTCTGATAAGGCTTTGACCTACTGGTCCATTTTGACAAGATAACACACAAATTTGGAACAGATGGAATCTAATTAATATTAATAAATTACTAGGCGGTGGTTTAGGTAGTGATTAAAAGAGCAGAAAAGCCTAGCAAAAGTAATTGATTTGTTTCAAATTTTCACTTACAAATGGTCAACAGAAAAACTTATCTGACTAGTCAATATTATGTGTTTAATAGTACAAGAAATCAATCACTGAAGTCAAATGTTGCATTGAGACAGTTATACCTAAAATATTATGAAAGATTTTTAAAGAATCCTGTTAAATTCAGATTATTTTTTTTTAATATTTTGCAAATTGTCACTATTACCATAAACAAGATTTCCCGTACCTATTCTTGACATACCCTTTTCAAACTAGGAATATCAAACTTTACTACAACTTTTGTGTCACGATCAAAGAAATTTCAATAGGTTAAAATAAAAAAAAACGCACACAAGTAGAACCTGTATCATTTATGTATGTAGTAAGCAGCTTGTAAAATAAATACGTTTATGACAAAATTGCTTATGACGTCACCTCGTATGGATTTCATATTCAAAATTATCTCCCAATGGTCGAATTTGTATGTATAAATTGTATTCAGTCTATAAAATTAATTAAACAAATTAGACTGTTTGTATATTTTTAATATCAGTAGATTAGCATATATTTATGATTATGCTAGTTAAAGAATTAACTCAATGCATTCATAACGATTGCGAAATAGGGATTTTTACTGAGTTTATCTTGGTTTAGAACATAACCCACTTAAGTAAATCATTACCTATTTTTTTACAAAATTGCCCTCTGAAGGTCCAGAAGATAACGCAAAACTTACCCCAAATACAGTATATATATTTATTTCTCTTCAAAAATTCCTGAACACTACAAAACCTGTTGAAACATCAAAAGCACAAGTGTTCTGCAATAAATAGTATCGGGCCCAGAACGTAACCCTGCGGCACCCCGAGTTCTTACCACTTACCTCTCGCTCAGTGTCCAGTGGTTGTACAAAGATGGAGGGCTACTGAGTATTTTGACGATGGTGGACGTTGGTCAGTGATAATGTGTCCGGTTAACACAGGATCCAACCAGTCAGACACCTTCATGACCCTGTGGTAGTGAACTCGCAGTCAGCTGTGATAACGTTCAAACAATTGTCAATGACAGATTTAATAGAATGGAGGAAATATTTTAAATTTTTTTATGATTTGAGGGTAAAAAATTAGAAAACCCTATTTTCACCTCATAAAACCCCACATTATTATAATTATCAGTATTAATATAGTTGTAGATGCCCCCTATGTGTGTATTTTAACCCAAATATGAGTGAAGGGAGTGTAGAATGGAGTTAGATGGTCTGTGTAGCTGTGCAACTTGACTATCAGCTGTTTCATTAGTCACGATCAATTTATTTAAAGCCCAATAATCAGGGACAGCTGGGGTCCAATTTTGATCCATCAAAAAGCTACTGACTTTTCTCAGGATCGATCCGGCAACTTTTTGAATGTTAGGCGAGCAATATAAACACTCAACTACCCAGCCAGTCAAAAGTAGAAACAACGACGAATGGAATGTTGATAATTGTAAATTGTAGCTGCAACAAACAGCTTTAGTTGCTTGTTGATTGGGCTTATTGGGGAACTGAAAGTTACGGAAGCAGCATTGATTGATCCATATGTGCAACGTTTTGAGTTAGGTTCCTTTATATACTTGCATTTGTGTGTACCAGTAACACACAATCGAGTGCAAAGCTTTACATTGTTTAAGGGAACCAAACAAACCCTGTTTTTATATTATCTAACTTCAACCTTTTGTTAAATAGTATGTTTAAGTGGTAGCCAATAACAATTGGGTGTAGATTCGACTTCGTATGGAATCGATCCAGAAATTTTCAGATATGAAGGTTAGTACTAAACCAATCTGTTGCCCAGAAGGATTGAAATGGAAAGTATTGTGCTGTTTATTTGGGTTTGTTAAATATACTTTCTGGGTGTACACTGAAACAAGTGGATATGATGGGTTTCAAAGGTATTTAAAGGATATACCCTATCTTGAAGGACCTAATACTGATACTTCATTGGAAAATCATTCGGAAAAATTATAGTTGAAAGTGCTTTTAATATTTACTTTATTGGGATTTTTTTTAATTTAAAGCTAAACTTTTTGATAACAACAATACAACTCACACTTGAAAATCGTTTAATCCAATAAAAATATTTAACAAAAAATTATAATGATCAAATTATGAGTAACATGATGCTTAAGAATAAAATGCTAACATTGTGTACACTTTTTAGTGTTATTTGGTAGCATGATGGTAACCTATGTAATGAAATGCAAATGAGTTACGGCTTAAATGAAGGATCAGTGGTCAAAGGAGGGTGTTTTATACCACCCTGAACCACCCTAGCGACAATACGCCGTACAAACACGAAGAACAAACACTTTCGTAGTTCAAAATTACGGACGATGAATGGCTGAACAGTATTGGGCTTCAGGACAAGTAATAAGTACAGTAAATTCGTGATACCTATTGTTGGTTTCTTTTCCTTGCAATTTAAAATGCATCTTAATTATTTATAATAAGTTATTTCAATTCTCCTGAGTCATTTACTTACAGCATTTAAAATATTGTGAACTGTACTACGGATAAATTAACTTTCTGATTTGAGACTAACTATTTAAGAACGAAACCTTTTTTCAATTTCAATTAATACAACATAAGGCAATGAATTAAACTAAATAATGTTGAATTAGTAGTTAATAATGTGATATATATAAATTACAATATCTTCTCTTTAAACACGATTTCTGAATGTTTCTAACCCTTTGTTGTTGCTAAAGGTGACCCTCCTTGACCTGATTATCAGGAGAAAAGATTGCGAGAGTTACATAATAAAATTGATATCCAAATGGTAAATATTTAGCTTTGGTGAATTCTGAACTGATTGGTGCTTTACTAAAGAGTATGTCCATCCGAACATCTATCATCAGTAGGTCCATGATAGATAGATGATGATAGATAGTATAATTATACAGAATTCATGAAAGGTTGTGTATTTCTATTTTAACAAAAACTCAATCCAAATATAAACAATAACACACAAAACATATGTTGAACAATTACCATATGTTATTGATATATTAACTACTACTGTCATCCCTCCTTCACAAGTCAAATTGATTTGGTTTTCTTCTAATCCTTTCCCCTCGTCTTACAACAGGAGTTGAATCATTGTTATGTAATTCTGACCTGGAAAATTTACCTTTATTCACATCATGGGAGATTCTGAATGACTTGTCTCTTCTTAGGGACCATGAGTTCCTTCGGTATTCTCGTCCATCACCAGTCTGGATTTTGTACGATCGAGGTTCAGGACCAACTTGAACAATCTTTGCCCTCAGCCAACACTTTGGTTTGAATCTAAAGAGTACTGGTTCATCGAGTTTAAATTGATCAGGCTCTGTTTTCCTCACATCACCGTACAGCTTCTCTCGTCTTTTAATTTTTTCTAGCTGTTTTGAAACATTCTTTATGACCATCGGAATAAGGTGGTTGTTTGTAGATGGAAGAAGAGTCTTTGTCCTCCTACTCATCAGCCGCTGAACCGGGGAACCTAGGTTACCTCTTGGTGTGTTACGGTGATGAAGAAGTGCAAGATAAATATCGGACTGTTCTTCTTGACACTTGAGGATTAAGTTTTTCCCTTCTTGGACATACCTCTCCGCTAGCCCGTTGGATCTTGGAAAATGAGGAGTAGAAATTCTATGATTAAATTTCCATTCGGAAACAAATTTAGTAAATTCCATAGAAGCAAAACATGGCCCTCCATCAGTTCTTAGTTCATCTGGAATACCATGAGTTGCAAAGTACTTTTTTAGGTGTGTAATAACAGTAATGCTACTTTTGTTCCTTAGATTTTCACACTCAAAATATCCTGAGTAACTATCAGCAACTACTAAGAAGTCTTTACCTCCACATTCAAAAACATCAGCTCCGATGAACTGCCATGGCCTCACTGGTACTGTTTCTTGAAGGATCACATCTTGAGGTTTATCTCGTTGATATTTGCTGCATACATTGCACCTTGCTACATATTGTTCAATATCTCTTTCCATATTAATCCAATATACATAGTCATGTGCTGTATTAATTGAACTTTGAACACATTTGTGAGGACGGTGAATATTCTGTAACACTTCATGTTTCATTTCATCAGGTATAATCAAACGGCTTCCTTTAAACAAAAGACCATCATAGCAACTTAGTTCTTCTCTGAAAGTGAAATATTTTACCAAGTCCTTGTCAACAGTGCTTCTTTCTTCGGGCCATCCATTCAAGATCATTTCCTTCAACTTAGAAAGCTCTGTGCATTTTCCAACACTAGTTCTGATTCGAGAAACTGTATCAGAAGACATGGGAATTATCAACTGAATATCAAAGCTGTGAGGTTCATCATCTTGATTGTCATTGTAGCAATCTCTACTCAAGGTATCGGCCAGATGAAGCTCACAACCCCGCTTGTACACAACTTTTGGTCGATATGGTAATATTTCCAAACACATTCTTTGGATTCTGGGAGGAGCATCAGACAACGGTTTCTTAAAGATAGCCTCCAAAGGCTTATGATCTGATTCAATTATCAACTCCTTGCATCCCCATACATACTCATGAAACCTTTTGCAAGCAGTCAGTATTGCGAATGTCTCTTTTTCAAGTTGACTGTAGTTCTGTTGTGATTGAGTCAATGCTTTGGAATTATAAGCTACGGGCTGCCCAGATTGTAACATAACAGCACCTACTGCATAACTGCTTGAATCCACAGATAGAGTCACAGGAGAGTTGGGGTCATAGTAACGAAGCACAGGAGTTCTTTGCAGTTTTTGCTTTAACTTGTTAAATGCTTCTAGTTGTGGCGTATCCCAGAACCAAGCCACATTTTTCTCAGTGAGAACTCTTAGAGGTTGAGTATCAACCGAAACATCTGGTATAAACTTTGATAAGTAAGTTATACAACCTAAAAATCTCTGAAGCTCAGACAAACATGTGGGTTCCTTCATTCTTGAAATGGCTGCTACTTTGTCAGGATCAGCTTGTAACCCTTGGTCTGAAACTATGTGACCAAGAAATTTCACCAACGGTTTAGCAAATATACACTTTTCTTTGTTAAGTGTAAGTCCTGATTCACTGAGCTTTGTCATTACTTCATTCGTAATCTTTTGCAGGTCTTTTTCATTATTACTGTGAATGAGTATATCATCCATTGAACACTCTACATTCTTTATTCCTTTGAGCAAGTCTGACATAATATACTGGAACACTTCAGGGGCCGATACCAAACCAAAGGGCATGCGTAAACAAGAGTAGCGCCCCCAAGGTGTTGAAAAAGTTAGTAGTTTGGATGTTCTCTTTGTAACTTTTATCTGCCAGAATCCTTTTTTACAGTCAAGGATGGTGAATAAAGTAAAACCATTCAATCTAGCTGAGATGTCCTCTAATGTAGCCAATGGATAATGTCTACGCTTTACATTTTTGTTAAGATCAGTTGGGTCAATGCAAAGACGTATTTTGTCTCTTTGTTGGACTATGACCATAGGAGACACACAAGGAGTAGGCTCACTTACCGGAGTAATAATCTTGTCTTTTACCATTTGGTCAAGTTCTGCTTTCACTGCGTCACGTATTGGATGGGGTATTCGCCTGGGTGGGTGTATTTTGAAACTAGGATTTTCCACAAGATCAATATCATACTCAAATGACTTCAAACACCCTATTCCATCATATAATCCACTTAAAGACTGATCATTTATACCAGCAATCCGTTTTACGAACCCTAGGGTTTCACATGATACTCTTCCTAATATTGACTGATGCCCATTTGGAACTATTACAAACAAGACAGTGTCTTTATGAGACTTTTTGGTTACAACTGGACAAATGGCTTCACCCAAAACTGGCGTTTTTTGGTTGTTAAAAGAAACAAGGCATTTAGTTGCAGAAGGTACAATGTTCAGATTACAAGCTAGTGCCAAATCATGGGAAATAACATTGCACTGAGCCCCCGTGTCTA